CTGGGGAATTCTGGGAGTTGAAGTCCACCCATCTGAAAGTTGCCAGGGTTGAAAAATACTGATCTAATGAAAGGAGGAGGGAGGTAACACTAATCTTCCCCCATAAAAAACTCAAAGACCCCCATGCCCCAAAATCGTTGTCCCTATCATCCTGCCCCTGGACACCCAAATATATGAAGTGCAACTTCCAGCTATGAAAAGATCCTCACTTCTAAGGTATAATGTTGAGATTTCTCTTTATCTCCTCATTGAAATATCACAATTTGAGGGAATGGTTTCATATACCAAATTTAATTTGGGGGAACTAAACATTTCTGGAGCAAACCCACAGGTTTTTTTTTTCCATCAAGTTTGTTAGCTGTAGCATTTTCCTAGTGTTGGCATTTTATCTATTCTTTTCCTAGCATTTCTGGCATGCTATCTATTCTTGTTAGCATTCACATGATAACAACAAAAGGGCTATGTATGCAAGCATCTGACTATTGGTATCCAAGAAGAATATGCTGTTTTCCAAGAGCTAATTTTGAACATAGATCATGAGGAATTACAAAAATCTTCCACCTGAGGTATCCATCTCCTGGCATTTCAGGAATGGTAATCTTTCTGTATCTGGAATCACACTTTTTCATTTTTGTATGTTTCTGGGGACCAAGGATCAAAGTGGGGAATGATGCCATGATGGTGCACAACTACAAGCACTGGGACTGTCTGCATTTTGCTTTTTTGTTTTCACATGTTTTGAGAGGGGTGATTAAAATTTTTACTTAGATGTGTTAAGCCAAACTGATGGCTTGTACAACTTATTTCTTTTGTTTGCAAATGAAAATCAGAGGAAAAATGCTGTTCTGATTACCGTTTGCCATTAAATGTAGGTGGCAAGATCTGGGGGGCCACAGAAAAAAAGGAGGGGTTTAAGGGCTGTATATAAGCTGCTGTCAGCAGTTGTTCACTCTTGCTCAACCTAATGGTAGGGCCAGCCAGTGAGAATCAATTGTAAATGCACATAGAGGTTGAAGATTTAATGTATGGTAGCAAACAATAGGACTGTTGAGAGCTGCTTTTCAGGGGTTTGAAGAGCTTAAAGAGTTACAGCTTTATACTTCAGGTTCAAAGAAATTTAAAAATAAATGAATGGGATATTTTAATCAAAACTTTACAAGCCATAACCCAGAACCTGCTGCAACTATCACGTTGATTCATATGGAGTCAGTTGATATAAATGTCCCTTTAAATGTATGCGGAATTAATTCATTAGTTCAGAGCCATTGTTGGCATTATCACTTTCTTCTCAACAGATCTGCTTTTGGGGAATAACATCAAAAAGAGAGGGGAAGAAATCCCTGTAATTTATAGCAATAATAATTATCATTGTCTCAGCCTTTACTTTTTACTTAGTTTTTACTGTGGAATAATTCATTTTTATTAACTGGGTTTTCTTCAGCTTATATCAGGACTTGAATCATGGCCCAAGAAGAAGATCTAGGAAGTTTAATAAACATCAAGTTGGTGTTGACTCTTAACATAGATAGACTTTCTCCAAAATTATCTGTCCCCACCTGCCCCTTCAGATCTTCCAATGGTGTACCCATCACCACAGTAACTGAGTGATCCACCTTGCTACTGATCATCATCATCCTCTTCTCTTTCCTTCCACTTTTCCCAGCATTATAGACTTCTCAAGAGAGCTCCGTAATGATAATATGAGCCTGGTCATTTGTGCCATTTGAGTGAGAACTTTGGAGTGATTTGTTCTATGATCAATTTGTGTTTGTTTCTTGGCTATCCATGGTATTCTCAAGAGTCTTCTCCAACATCAAAATTCAAAAGCATCAATACTCGTTCTGTCTTGCTTCTTCAAAGTCCAGCTTTTGCTTCCAAAGAGCGTCATAAGGAAAACCATTGCATGATCCTGATTTTTGTAGGCATCACAGCATCTGAATATCTTTTCCAAGATAGATCTTTTCTCTACCAAGTGCTAGTCTGTGAAGTATTTTTGGCTGCTGGTTCCTTTACTGTTAATAGTTGATTCCAAAAAGTAGGGGCTATCTACCACTTCAGTATCTTCATTGCCAGTTTTAAGGTTGGTTGTTGTACCTTTTGTCATTAGCTTGATCTTCTTTCTATTAATTGTAGTCCGCTTTTTTTCCACTGTGCTTCTTGGCTTTCATTACTAGAGCGTGCAGATCATTTGCATTTTCAGCTATCTGCATAGTGAAGGTTATTGATGTTTCTTCTTCCAGTTTTAAAACCACATTCATCTTCTTGCAGTCCATCCTCCCTCAATATATATTCAGCGTATAGGTTGAAAAATAAGGAGCAAGTATATAGCCATGTCTCATTCCATGCCTATGTAGGGCCAGTCTGCTTCACATTTTTCTGTCCAGGCTGTGGCTTTCTGTCCTGTGGATAGGTTTTGCATGAGGACAGTGTTACATTCTGGGAATCCTGTTTTCCTATGGATATTCCACAGCTTGACATGGTTGAGACAACCAAAGACCTTTCTGAAGTTAATGAAGTACATACTGGCTTCGTTTTGATATTCTTTTGATAATTTTCTCAATTATCCAGCTTGCACCAGCAATAGTGTCTCTCATTCCTTGCCTTTTCTAAAGCCAGCTTGAACATCTGTCATCTCTTTCTTTAATTAAACTTTAAAAAGAAACTGCATGAATTAGTACACCATGGGCAATCTAAAAACACATTAAAGAAATGTGTGTGGTACAAGGTAGTATAATAGTTTAAAAGTATATAAGCAGTAAGCCAGAAAATTCCTAGTTTGATTTTTACTTTTCCCATAAACTAGTGGGACAAGCTATTATTCTCTCTTATCCTCCCATCTGTAATAGGGGTACAAATTATCAGGATCGTTTAAAAAAAATGCATGCCAAGTATTTTGAATGCCCTCAAGTGCTAAATATCACGAAGAAAGATCTTCCTCGATGGGGATGGGTTTAAGGTCCCTTTGATCTCTGTGGAATCTAGGCATGCCTAAATGTTTGCATTTAGATTTGAGAAGGCTTAAATCCAAGTGTGCAAGTGTATCTATTGTACAAAGTGAGTTATTGGCCTGCTTTGTATACCAACACTGCCAGAAGTGAGATTTTGTTTATCCCTTCCAGTTATCAGAGAAGACATCTTAGCATACCCTTTGCTTGCTTGATTGTTATTGCAAAACACACACGCCTTCATTTTCAAAGTCCAGTGGACTTGTATTTCCAACTCCTGAGCACCAGCCCTGCTCCAGGTGTCCTTGGCATTCCTGGAGATGCTTTTGTTCTGAGTCAGCTCTCGCATGACTAGCAGCTTTGCTCCCCCCCCCCCCGCCTCCCAAGCAGGTGTTTTGATGAATATTATTAAAAAACCAGTCTCTAATGTGCCCCAGCTTTTTGCTGCTACTACTGTTGAATTTTGGATATAGATCAATGATACACTTTCCCCCAGTTTGTCCTCTAGAACTCATTTTTATCTGTCTTTTGTCTCCTTTTCCCCTCCTGAATACTGACTGTTGCTCTGAAAAAAGCAAAAAGGCCCCAACGTTCTTCTTTGATACAATTACCACTGCAAAGAAACCATTCTAAATTCAAATTAAATGCGCAATGCACACTATGTTCAGTCTTAAACCTACAGGAGCTTTCCCTGCAAGTAAGAAAGCTCCCTGTGCCTATTAGATGGTGGCGCTGTAGTTGCCCACTGGACAAAGAATGTTTGTATGCAAACCAATCCTGGGAGCATTTTGGTTTGTTGTGTAGTAGTGTAGAGCTTGAAACTCAGCTTCAGTTTGAGGGCAGCAAGCAATATATTTGTGAATAACATTGTGCCCCTTTTTGCAATATGATAATGAAATAAAAACATTGGAGGGCACCATATTCCTTTTTTAGTCATGCTAAAATTTTGGCAAAGTGCTTTCTACTGTCTTATAGGTAGATGAAGCCTACTATAAGTTTTGAAATCACCTGGTTAGGCAGTCACAGATAACACATGCACTATTTGTTCCAGTGTATTGTGTGGTGAGCTTTATGATTCATAAATCATGTAGGTTGAATTAAGATCTTGACCACCTAGGCATTCTAGTGATGCAATGTGTAATTGTTCTGAAGTAAGCTTCACTGGATGGATAGCACTGACTCTTATAAAGATGCACCTACAGGCTGTATTTGCATCCTCAGAATCTTGGGTTACACCTGGCAGTGCTTAACTAGCGAGGAGTCATAGCTCAGTGCTAAAAGCCAGGCTTTGGATAGAGAAACCCTCAAGTTCTGTAAAACTAAGAAAGTCTCCTGTCTGTAACCCTGGAGAATCACATATAAGCTGGATGGAACAAAAGCATGATTTAATACTAGCTCCATTGCTTTGATCAACATCCTCAGATTTTGGTATAAAGATGTGCTTGGGCTTTTCCTTACATGTATCTTGGAACTCTCCATTTGTTATCTATTTTTTAAAGACCATGTATCATCTCATGTTTGGTACTGAGTTTCTAGTAGTCTGTTTCCTACCTTAGACCATCTGATTAAAGCACTATTAAGGTTTCCATGTAATCAAATTCTCCTGCACTTGCTACCAAATCTGCGGACTCACATGCTTAGTGGCCAGGGCCCACTGGAATTATGAGTCAAGTCTTTTATGAAGACAGGGCACAATTTAGATGAACCCAATTAAACTTAAGTCTCATTGTTATGGAATGTTTAAAGGCATGTGAAAGACGAATGTTTTTAGAAACAGAATTCACTATACTTTTTGATACAGGGGGATGGTGCTGAACTCCCAAATCCCATCAACAACACACAATTGCTGTGCCATATAACATGCTTTGCCCCAACAATAGACCATACATACTATAGCTAACCTGAGGGCCTAGTTCATACAATGCACTAAAACAATGTTTCTCAACTTCAGCACCTTTAAGAATGTGTGGATTTCAAATCTCAGAATTCCCCAGCCAGCCATGCTGGCTGTGGAATTCTGGGAGTTGAAGTCCATGTGTCTTAAAGATGCTAAGGTTGAGAAACACTGCATTAAAACAATATCTGGTTCTCAGAACATGCTGAACCACAAAACTAAATACAGTTTACCCAGTTGTGCAAACCTAGTTGGATAGTTTTGTGTTTATCCTTCTGTGTATTTCATGTGAGCAATCTATCTGAAATTTTAATTATTAGAAGTCTCACTTGTATATTGACACGGATGCAATATAATAGTTTTTAAAAATTAATTCTAATTTTGCCACAAAAGGTATAAATGTCTTCCCTAAAAGAAAACAAGTTGGTCTTCTCCTTCCTTCTAAAAATAAATTATCTTTCTGCTTAGATTCTCAGGAATTTATTATGAGTCCACCCTCTTTCTGCAAATCTCCATTCAAAAGAGGGTAAGGGGGAGAGCTTTGCTTTTCTAATCCAATCCCCTCTGTATATTTACTCAGAGTAAATCCTGTTGTACTCTATGGGTAAGTTTGCATAGGATTGTTGTGGATAAAACACATAGTTGTGCCCAGACTCACTGACTTGAGTATAATCCATCCAAAGCAGCATTAGCCAAGGTGGACATGAATCTCTGTCCTGACAGTTGGCGGCATCTCTCTGACCTTGCCTGGATGCCAAGTAATAAGGTTGGACCTGGTTAATACATGGATGGAAGACCACCAGGGAATTCTAGGTTGTAAACTAGGCTGTGAAGTTGAAAATATATAATTCCCTATTATTGGCACTAACTCTATCTTCCTCCCCAGGTGAAAATCTGGTTTCAAAATAGGCGGGCAAAAGAAAGGAAGATCAACAAGAAGAAGTTACAACAATCTCAGCCTGGGGGAGCGCACAGCGGATCTGAACCCATGAGTCCTGTCTCCTCCATGCAGGCAGGGACAAATGGCTCTGGCCCTAGTGGAGGTGTGTTGGGTGCTACTGGCTTGACCCCAATGGTTGCACAGTGACAACAACTGTAAGGAAAGACTGAGCAGCTGAAGAGTTCTTGCATTCCATAAGGAAGAGGAGGAGACAGCCTACCACACACCAGCCAGCCAGCCAGCCCATGGAGAAGAAAGCCACTAGTCCAAGAGTGAAACTGATGAGGCAAGTGGTGACTCTCCGTATCCTGCACTAGGATGAACTGCATGGAACAGCATCACACTCTGGGATTTTCTGCCCATTTGTCCAAAATATACTGTGGGCCACCCAAGTTCAGATAGGGGAGGGAAGGGAGTTGATTTTCCTTAATTTGTTTCATTCTTCTCCTGGATGCTGCCATAGATACCACACAACTGACACTTATCTTTGCAATGAAAAACACCTTTTCTCAGGGAATTGGGCCTGGAATGCCTGCTTGTTGTTCTTGTTTTTGTTTTTTAATTACCAATGTTGTTGGGCTAATGATAAATGTTAATGGGAAAAAGAAGAAATTAAACCATATTTTACTTTGTTTTTTTCTGGTATCCTAAATACACTGGAAAGGAGAACCATTCACCTCTCAACTGGCAGGAAAGAGTAAAAAAAGGAAGCTGCTGGTTGAGAAGCAAGTCATTGGATGGTAATTTATTGAAAACAAGCTTATAAACTAGCACTGGTGATACTGTGTCCAGATGCCTGCCTGCCTGCCTGCCTGCTGTCTTTTTATCACTGGTGTGAGCAACACACTATGGACAGAAAGAAATCTATTTTTATGAGGACATTTTTTTCCGTAGAAAATATTTTTAAGATAATCTGCTTGACAGGAAGATTCACACTGAGATTTTTCTTACTCGTGATCTTGAGCATCATTTAGTCCTTGTTATCCTGTCACTGTCACTGACATACCCTCCTGACTCATTGCTACCTTGGCTGGTTAACAAAATATATTGTCCATATTTGGGGGGTGGGGGGAATATTTTGAGGACACTGACTGGCTGCTGAAATATATTTTCTGCCACCTCCTAAGATACAGGCAGCTCTTCCAAAAATATCCCAGTCCCTGTTCAAGCCTAGCCTGCTACATCAACTTGCCTTCCCAAATATGAAGGAAGAAGAACAACATCTACACACTTTATTTCTGTGATGGATTATGCTGTAGAAGCTAGTTCTTTTACAGAACTCAAAGGAGAGGAGATGTTGCGACATATGGGCTTGAGCAAAGAAAGCCAATGTTTTGTGCTCAAGAAGGGGGAATACTGGGGTTACTACCAGGTCATTCTGAGCTGATTTAAATTGCAAGTGAGGAAACTGTAGATTTCTTGGAGCTGGTACTACCGGCTGCAGGTTATTAAAATCTAACATAGTTAGAGGACTCCTGACTGGGGTTTAGCATCCCAATCCTTAATCCAAGTTTGGAATGGAACTCTGTTTATTCTGATAAGAAAAAAAAATCCTATATAAGAATAAAGGCACGTTTTTCATAATTTTATAAGACTTCAAGAGGGGAGCCCAAAGAACATTTGCAGCCTAACTTTTAATGCATGTTCATGCAAAAGTCTGCCCAATTTGGAATGTGCAGGACCAAACTCCAAAGGCTACAATCCATGGCACATGAATTTGTATCCATTGGTGCCCATGTTGGCGGAGTGGCATCTGCCAATGATATTGATTTCTCTTTTCTCCATCCATCCCCAAATCTGCTGACTAGCATCTTTTGGGACTCATTTGGGAACTGAGAGGTCAAAGAAAGTGCAGGGGAGTCTATGTGTCTTGACGGTCATCCATTTACTTGAAGATAGGTTTCCCTTTAAAAAAAATGACCTGGGCCATGTAAATTAGTAATAAATGAAACAATTTATATATTGAATACATATCCAAGCACTCTTACCTTGGAGCTAGAGTGATGCGCTCTTCTTAATTTTACATGTTTAAGCTGACTTTCAAATAAAACATGCAGAATTAATTCTGTGAAAAGCACAAACAAGCCAGGAAAACTTTTTTGGGTGCAAGCAGACTTCATGGAAGTGAAACCATTTGCCCTTTTTGCTAGGACCCATTCATTTCAATGCACTGCAAGTAGAGAATTATAGTCCTGGATTCTATCCAACTCAGAATTTCACATGTAGCCTTAGATGGGCACCGCTGAGAACCACAGAGCTACGTGTATACTGTAATGTTTTGTTTACATATGACTGGGTTTATGAAAGCATAGATAAGAGATAGACAGACAGACAGATAGACCTTCTAAGGCCTACTTGCCCCTTCTATGGTAAAAGCATGGAATCTGTCTTACATCTTGTTGGAAGTTTTCAGTGAGTTTCCATGAAAAATCACAAGTGTCTGGAATTTTCCCTTTCACCAAGCCTCCTGATCTGGGCTACCAGATCTGGGCTGCAAGACTCCAAATGGCAACTAGATAGAAGCAAAGCATTAAGAGGTTTCTCTACCTCTTTGCTGCCTTCTAGTGATTGCCCATAGTTTTACAGCCCAGGGCTGTTAGCTCTCCTCCCAGTGCAGATTCTTGTATACCACGTGGTTGTGAGGTTGGGGAGGGACAAGCAGAAGGCAGTGGGAATATCAGATAGGTTGAATAAATATAGCTTTGGCCTTTGAAGTAATTAAGAGAGGCACATACTGTACCTGATGATCCCTTGTTTTATAGATACGATTAATCAGTGCCCAAAGAGGAAAAGGTGGAGCAAATATGAATGAATACTTTTATTACAGTCAGTGACCAGTACAAGGTGGAAGGAGTAGGAAGTTGGATAGTTAGCCCAGATGAGCAATATCCTCCTAAAAAGAACAGGAATGGTTATGGGTCTGCCTGAAATTAATTGGGGTGCAATCCACCCTTATCCAAATATAATTTGAGTAACAGATATAATTCAGTCCTAACTTCTAATGCTGAGCTGGAGTTCATTGAATGTAGCATATTTATCCCATGCATATATATTGTTATGTGGTGTCCTCTTGGTCACGTGTGTAATTTCCAAGATAGAGCTCATCAGCATTTAAATACCATTCCTCTTGAAAGTCTGAAAGACTTTCAGAAAACAGCCTTAAGAACTGAGGAAGACTGTTTATGTTGGCAGGTGTCGATGGTCATTATCACCCAACACACCTGGAGGACACAGCTGGAAATCTGCTGTAGAGGAAAGTGGATGGAGCTTAGAGGAAAGGCTCTATAGTGCAGGAGGAAAAAAGGAAATAATTGCTTTTTAAAACTTTATGAATGGTAGGAGGAAAATACAGTAAGACCTTAAAGACTATGTCTGCATCCTAAACAGAAACCAGCTTCAATGATTTCAGTGGAAATCATTTCTAGTAAATGCGCTTTAAAGTATCAGTTCATTGCAAAAGTTTCTTCCTGACAAGTATGAGATCTAAATTTTATGAGAAACCATCTAGGTTCTCTTGGTGAAATTCTTTCTAGTGACATCCTTAAATTCCAGCTGGTTAAGCAGTTGTAAATGAGTTTAAGTGTGTAAACACTCATACTTGCTTCTTTTTTCTTCTGAACACATCAATAGCATGATCCATTGTCATAATCAAAACCTTTTGGACAAAAAATGAGAAAAATGTTTTAATTTGAATAAGTCTTTTTTAACAACAGTAACAACAACAAGGATAGTGATTTAAATAATGTGAGATTGCAGAGTCCTTTTATTAGCTCAGGATCAATATTTTCAGGGGAAAAGTCATCCAGAATTACAAGAATAACTGATGAACCTGTCCCTATTGCTAGACTTGTTAAATAGCATCCTGGCTGTTTAAAATTTTAAAATTGTAAATTAATTGTACGTCTCAAGATTTAAATGCTGATAGATATTCCTCTACTAGAATTTCATTTTCTGATTTTTTGAATCCTTGAAGGAAGGAGACCTAATCCTCCATTCATCACTGGGGTAAGATATTTACTCAAATGCAACACTCTGTATTAAGGTTTTTATTTATTTTATTTATTTATATTTCAAATTTGTCACCACCCATCTCACTATAGAGCGACAATGGGTGGTTTACAATAAAAAGGATAAATATTCATTAAAACAGAATAAATATTAATTAAAATACATTTAATTCTATCCCTCTAAAAGGAATAAAGATTCTTCTAAAAAAATAAATACATAGCTTCCAAGGAACTGGTATTTACTATTAGACCCGGGGAGTGTCTTCAAGGCACCAGCCACCCCCGGGGGTGGTGATATCCCTTCTTGCCCCATGCGAGTTGGCAGAGCCAGGTCTTCAGCCCTTTCTTGAAGGACAGGAGAGCGGGGGCCTGTCTCACCTCTGGGGGAATAGTGTTGCATAGGGGAACGGGAATGGCAGAGAAGGCTCTCTTCTGGGCCCCACTAGATGACATTCTTTCGTAGACAGGGTCTGTAGCACACCCTCTCTGCCTGACCGGGTGGGATGGGTCGACATAATGGGGATGAGATGGTCCCTCAGGTAGTCTGGTCCCATGCCATTTAGGGCTTTAAAGGTGATAACAAAAACCTTGAATTGGACCCAGAACAAACTGGCACCCAGTGCAGCTCCCACAGCAAAGGTGTTACATGTGCCCTCCTTGGGAAACCCAAAATTGCCCGTGCAGCTGCATTCTGCACCAGCTGTAGCTTCCGGATGCTCTTCAAGGGTAGCCCACATTGAGTGCATTGCAATAGTCTATCCGGGAGATGACTAGGGCATGAGTGGCTGACTGGAGGGCCTCCTGATCCAGGAAAGGGCGTAACTGGAGCACAACGCGAAGTTGAGCAAAGGCCCTCCTGGCCACAAGGAACACCTGCTCCTTGAGTCCAGGAGGACCCCCAGATTCTGCACTGGGTCTGTTTGGGGCAGTGCCACCCCATCCAGAACCAAAGATGGTAAACTCCTGGATATGCAGGTGCCCCCAACCCACAGACACTCTGTCTTACCTGGGTGCAGCTGAAGCCTGTTGTTCCCCATCCAGACCCCCACAGCCTCCAGGCACCGCAAAAGGGTGGTCACAGCATGACTCAGATCATATGGCATAGAGATGTATAACCGGGTATCATCTGCATATTGATATATGGTTGTGCAAAGCATGGAAGGAACATTTTCCTTTGACAAAGCTTTGAGGTAGCAGCTTCTTGATCTGAATTACCTCATGAAGCCCTGTGATCTCTGCTTCTAGTACAGAGGCTCTGAAGCTCCACTGGTCGAAGAGGGGTTCTGGGCCTGGATAGTGTATTCCAAAAGTAGGCAGAGTCAGAACAAAAACTGGCTGATATAAATTAAACTAAATTAAACCTAAACCAAATACTGTTACCATTATTACTGCCAGTACATTTGATAATTCCCCTTCCATCACATGAAAAATTGCATATCAGTGCCAACTTTTAGAAGAGTTTATTTATTATTTATTAAACCAATTTATAGAGATGCCCATCTCACCACAGACAACTCTGGGCAGCGTACAACAAAGCTAAAAACAATAAAAACATAATATTTCTAGGTTTGTGGGCTGCATACAGTCCTAAATCATATTAATCACAATTTACAATAAACTGGACT